TGTGCAGTGAGGAAATTTGGATTGTGTGTTTGGTCTTTGATGTGTATTGTTTTTTTCATTTCATATCTTTTAAGTAGTGTTCATTGTTCCTTAATAGAAAACATTTCAGAATGAAATAAACACAGCACAGTTAAAATGTCATCTTGATGTCAATTTTAATTTAAAAAAAAAACATATATATGAAATAAGGATTTGTTAAATAGTTGTATGGGAATGAAGTAGTAACCATGCATAAACAGTTCTACATATAGGGTGTTTAAAACAGCAGAGTCAACTAAAATTACCTGTGCTGTTTATACACCAAGTGCATGTAGTTGAGTAGTACTGTTGCCCAGTACTGTCCAATAATTGTTTACAACATCTCAAAGACCAGACAGTCTAACTTTCCCGGAAACTTTCTCTCAGGAGTGAGAAGTGTGTAGCATATACTAAAACTTTTACTTGAATCACTTGTGAGGATATCAACATCGTTGTTAGATTATGCTGGTATGTTTCCACTAACTTTACATGCTAAATATGAGGTGGATTAGCTGCAAATAGTGGGTTGACTTAAAAATATAAGTACACTGTATGCAGTGTAAATTAAACTGTCAAGTATTTAAGCCTTGGAAGGTAACATTTTCTTTTTTTTCTATTGAGTTACTCTGTTTTATTCACAAGCCTTTTTTCTGAACACAGGTACCGGAAATCACTGGATGATCTTCAAAAAAGCTCGGACAAAAAAGTTGCCTTGTTGACAAATGCCACAAAGAAAGCAGAAACTGTGGTATGTATACTTATGAAAATTATGAGTTGATTTTTAAATTCTGGGAAATGGTGTGCCCTATTGCTTAGCACACTTCAAAATTTAGGATACAAGATACATTTCTTTCATGATTTTCTCTCCCCCCAGTAATATAAATCTTCTAAGACATTTTGGTGTGTAGTATCGCTGAGTATTTTATGAGTTGTGCCTATAGGGAGAGTAAAATACAACAAAGAGTAAAAATAACAAGCACTACTACACACCAAAATGTCTAATAAGTTGTTTATTATCCAACTGCTTTTTTTTCTGCTAAGTGATTATGCTCATTTTTTATATGTTGGGAAAAACAAAGTGGATAGAGAAGCATAGCAAACACAACCGACTGTTTAAACATATTTTTTTTTACAGTACAATATCGCAGGATATCTGTACTCTACTGGCGCAATATTTTTTACTCTACTTTGTGCAGTTGGATACTACTGTATATACATGTAACTGTCATGAAAGTTGGACAAAATGTCTACCTGCAATGGACTATTTTTCCACCCTAAGGGGGGGATGTCAAAACAGTTCTAGTCACCTTATCCTTCACAAACTGTAGTAATGGGCCACTGTGTGTGCCACTGGATGGAGAGCAGCCTCAACCATTTTTCATGTGATAAAAAGAAGAAACTGTGGTCTGTCTACAGATGAAAATTATCAGTTAAATTTTCCAGTTGTACATGTATGGGTAACATTTGTTTTTGGAGGGGAGGGGGGACTTTACTGCTCTGGTTTAACCAACAGTCCAGCACATATCTGTGTATTTTAAGGTTGTTTAATGCTATAGTTCATGCATCACTTTGTTGATTAACCCTTTAACTCCCAAGATCTGATTATTAATTTTCCCCTCCACATTTTGTTACACAATTCCTGGCGAATAAGTTAGGGAATTTGGTATTAAATCAAGACATCAACTTCAACCTGATAAGTTTGGGTATTCTCTTTTTCCCTTTGCTTGATAATGTACGGATATTATAGAGAGAAGTTTCATGTTAATCACTTCCAGGAGTTAAAGGGTTAAGTAAATTTTACTTACAGATTAACAACCAAAAGGAACAAATTGCCAAACTGCAGTCTGAGCTTGGAAATCTTACCAGTATGATGGTGGAAATGAAGGCTCGCATGGATCCTCTAAACAAGGAAGTTATGGAGAGGCATGTGATTGGTCTGTGTATAGAGATTGCTTTGATCTTGTTCTTGTTTTTGGTGTTTACTAAGAGGAACAACAATAATAACAACAACAACATTCCTGAGGCCCGAGGGGAGTCTGGCCACTTCGTGAATGGCAAGGGCCCCCCTAGGTTTGCAATCGAAGAGGATCATAACAAGACCAGTACAATCCACACAACAGGCAAGTTAGATGTACATTATAGATGTATTTGATACTGAAGAATACGCAGTTTACAATTACAGGGGCATAGACTTAATCAATCTTTATTTTGTACCAAATTAAACATAAGAATCTCACCCTTTGGAATAATTGTTGTGTGGTGCCATCCTTCTTGTGAATCAAACTAGATAAAAGTACGAAGATGGGTTGTAAAACTTATCTGGCACATTCATGATTGGTTGTTCTTCGTCAATTGACTGATAGGAATTTTTTTTGTTTTTAAGCAGGAGTGGGGGGGACTGTAGAGCCTTGGATAAAAATATTATAACCAAGTACAGTAGGAACTCATTTAAATGAAGCTTAGATAAAACATCCTCTCTGGTGTAAGGAAAGGGGCTTTACCACAACAAAACCTTTGGAAGATTATGCACTGTACCTCCACTGAATAGATTGGAGTTTCTTGGTATATTGGATTTGTTTAGTGACATTTGTTTGCCTATGAAAAAACAGGTTTTATATTAAGAGTTCATTAGAATGTTTAGATAACTTTTTGATCATTTTTTATTTTTTTAGCCTGTCTCAGTGGAAGAGAGCAGCTCCTTCGTAGTTTTGGAAAGCCCTCAGAACCGGAGTCTGTCGGTTCTAGTAACATTGCAGATAGTCATGAGAACAAACTAAACAAGGTCAGATAAAACTCATATCGTCCGTGGGGAGAAATTCCAAAGTTTGCCACAAAATGCACATTAACCCATCAGTTGCTACATCACAGCTAATGCATCTTGAAAAATTTACCTCCAATTTTTTGATTTTTTTTTTTATTATTTTCTGTCTGTCTTGATCTTTTTCTTCATTGATCATTCCAGTTCATTCAAAGTGTTTTTTTGTTTTTTTGATTGTTTGGTTGTTTGGTTGTTTGGTTTTATTTTATTTTACCATACTTGTATTTGTGGTCTTTCTGTTATTCAGGTGCAGATAATTTTTGACGCTAGAGCAATTACTCAAACGCGAAGTCAAGATGATTTATGCAAATTAGTATTGAGGTTTTAGGTATTAAACCGAGGGAAAAATTTTGTCCTTTCAGGCAGAACCGTTCAATTCTAATGACAGTAAGAAGAGACGTAACCGCAAACGCAAAGTATCCAGTCTCGAGCCTCCCTCAGACAGTACTTCTTGTGCTGACACGCCTAGTCCTGGTAGTTTTCTCAGTCGAACCGCTGGCTTACTCTTCTCGAGTGCTCGTGGACTCTTTGGTAGTTTTCACAATCCATGGAAATTGAAGAAACCATCGACTGTGCATAGCGATCCTATCCTCTCTACAAGATCGGGAGACAGCCTGGTTCGTGAAACGGAAAGACTGAGGCATCCTGTGCTATTAAGAGCTAGGAGTTTAGACTCAGTTCCAGAGGAGACACCTTCACAAAGACTTGCACCTCCGCCCACACCACCCCCTCTCTCACCAGAGTTTGGGGTCGTGTTTAAGCGCCCCCCTGATTGTTACTACTCCAAGAAGACCGGTGTTAGGAACATAACCCCTGGCCCGATAAAATGTGGAAAATATGGCGTCTTAGATTCCCAGATGGCGTAACTTGGGCCCCTCGAAGACCACACCCATTCTTCAATTTATTTCGGCAGCACGTTTCACTGGCGAAGTTGAGGAATGTGATTGGTTTTCGAGGGATTTCCGACAGAGAGAAATGAAGAAAAGGAGGAAAATGTCATGGGGTGACCCTTCTTGAGCAGCCTTAGAAATTTTACTCAACTTGGAATGAAGGAATCGATTATCGGGAGCTGAAGCTTAAAAGAACTTTCTCTTATCAGCCTTAAAAGGTGGATAGAAATCTTAAATTTTTGCTGAAATGCGTATAAGGCTTGGTAGACTAGCTACCAATTGAGTAAAATTGTATTCAGTGGGCCATTTTCATAGACCAAAGAACTCAGTAATATTGAGGAGTTCGTTTAGACCAAATATATCTCTAAAATGCTGCGTGTAAATGTTCTTTCTAGGAAAGCAGTATTCAAATGGTAAAGTCTTTTTTTGCAGCAAAATGAATTTGTATAGGTAAACCAAAATGTGTCATAGGTAATACAAAAAGGAAATTTCGCAATTGGTATCAAGAAGTAATATATATTTTCATATTTAAGACAGAATTGGTACAAGTTAAGATAATATTAAATTAGTAGGAAAAATAAAAGAGGCTCATGGTTTCATTTGGATTTGTGTTGGTGTGTAGTCGAGTTTGCATTCCTAACAGGTTTGATTCCTAACAGTTTTGATTCCTTGTGCTTCTACTCATGAAAATTGGATTTGAACCCTGTTTTAACTTTTGGTTTTAGAAGTACTTTGTTCTGCTTCGTAATTGTGATGTAAATTTTCGGTGAAGTGTTGCACTGTCTTCATCATACATAGACTTATAAATGTAAAATGTAGATGTCCAACGTTTATCATAACACTGGCTTGTAATTGTGCTTCTATCCTTCGCCGAAAGACTCCTTCAGACGATGAAATGCAAATAGCGAAAAATGAAGTATGGGAAAAGGTCGTTCCTTCTAACAACCACTTTTCTAAAATGCCTTCCTCGATGATGCCTTCCTCGATGATGCCTTCCTCGATGATGCCTTCCTCGAAAAGTGTCTATCCGTTGACATTTTTAAGTTCAAGTCTAAACTTGACTCTTCTCGTGGCGAATTGTTTAAAATCCGTCCTAAGGAGCAGTTTTGAAATGAACTTAAAATCACACGGACTTATGGCCTCTGCACGAAAGCCAAATGATTGGTTTAAACTCAAAACATCTGTAAATTTTAGCTGTTTTGAGGTACAAGGTGTTTCGCCATCTGACATCTGGAAATATTGGTCCGCAGTTCGTTCAAACATGAAACCATTTCCACGCTGACTCTGCATTAGATCTTAGAACACCTGATGTGCTAGAAAAAAAAACCTGTCTTTGCTGTGTTTACATTCATTGAGGTTATGGTTTTAGACAAAACCTTTCAGTTTTTCTTTTTGTCTAATAAAGTCATAAACATGTCTTTAATACTTTTTTGTGTAGCAAAGAAAGACTCGGTCCGACTTTTTCGGATGCCGAACGTAAAGATTATAGACTCAGATGTGGTCACATATTGATATCTTGGTTCCTGCTTTCCCATGCTTGGAATCTTACAGGTTTGGCTCTGAGATATCGGCAATATTTCAGCTGGTCCATAACGTTCACAGAGGGATCAGTGAAGGGGACTGTCTTGGACGAGTGCTTGCGATGAAACTTAGGAACGCAGCCATCTCGTATTGGTGGAAGAATCATAGATTGTATGGTTTGATTCTCTGGTAACAAATGCCAAAGTTTTTTCGTCACTTCATCGGGTGAGCTTCGCGCACTGTTAACGATACGTGTACCAGCTTCGTCCCTGTTTCCAAATGGTTCACTTCGTCTCCGTAGCCATAACATGTCAAAATACTCTTGTGAGTTTAAAGGTGGCTTTTTGAGGAATTCTTTCACTTTTTGTGTCAGTTCTTTGTCTTGATTGTGGTACAAAGAAGGGATGTATCTTCGCTTTAAGTTCGGTAAACCCGAACTATATGCGTTTCGTGTCAACTTGGAATTTTTCACCGTCGATGCAGCGGATGACAGATGTTCGTTTCTATATTGAAGATTGTAAACTGGCGATGAATTTTGTTTGTTCTCGGGTAACCGCTGGTAATCGGCCATATTTGGTTCAGAAAAACTCTCTACACCGGTCCTTGGTTTTTGATTCATCAAACATTTTAAAAGTAAAATCAGGGCGGTTTTCAACTTTTGTTCCGATGTAGTAAAACAGGCCAAGTGCAAATACCATTTAAAAACGTCGGGCTTCGCCGCATAGGATAAACATATCGGTTTCCTTGCGAACGAAAGAGCCTTACTCATGAATAAATAAGTCAATTCCTAAGCTTGGCCTGAATGATTTTAGCCTTAGGCGACTTCATTGGCTTATGGATTCGTAGCAGGAGTCCGTTCAAGGAGAATTCATACGTAATTTAACATATTCTTGACCTTATGTAAAACACAAAATGTATATTTAACTCCCCACCGGTTAAATCTATAGTTTCGAATCGAAGTTTGAATACAAGGGAACTAGGTTATTGTTTATAAGTTTGATACTCGCGATGTTTTGAAATGTGTTCCCGAACTACGCCGGATAAGTAGGAAAAGCGTTCAGATAAGAGAATATTCTTATTTTAATAGTGTCTCGTAAAATATTCCATTCAGCTAGCAGGATGTTTACACGTACACTAAATTTGCTCTGCGTGATACGAAACAAAAAAAGTTGAAAAAGACGACCGCATGGAATCTTCCAGCCTACTAGTTTCTCAATATTTGGCTTCAATTGCCAATGTATTTGTAACAATAATTGTTATACTCTTCCAGTTATAGGAAAACTTAACACTGGTTGGGTAATTTGAGCAAACTGAATGATATACGTTTAGCCACCACATTCGAAATGATATATTCCTTTTAAAAGGTACATTCACCCACAGTTATCAGGATACGTCGATTAACACCTACCGCTAGACCCGTTACAGCCAGAGTATGAAAATGAAAACATTTATTGCCTAAACATTTCAGCGTGCAAATATTTTTGTTCACTAAATTGCTTCAAAAAGTTGAAGAAGTATATTTCTTTGTTCCATATCTTTTTTTGATGCTTTTCTGGCACGCAAGGAAAAATGTCGTTTGACACAAAAGTCACATAAAACCCACAAACTCCCACAGCAAATGGAGAAAAATTGTTGACATTTAGATAAACGGCCGTAGTTATGATAAAAGCCGAGTACTTGACAGCTTAGGAAAGGTAAAAGACATCATAATCAGGGACGGGGAGGAAATAAGCAAGTCGGTGATGGGAATGTCAAGGAGGCCAGATCAAACATGGGAAACGATTAACAGGGTAATTTAGTATTATCAACTGAGTTGACAACGTAAATCGGCCACCGTAAAGAGTTTATTCACCATTTGCTCTGACGAAGGGCTGACGCTCGAAACGTCAGCTTTCAAACTCTTTACGTTGGCCAATTTACGTCATCAATTCAGCTGATAATACTAAATTACCCTGTAATACTCTCCCACCGACGCAGCACCACAGTTTTTTTAGAAACTATACCCCCTCTATTCTTTGGGAGAACTATTAGTCGATTTTTCTGAAAAAAGAGAAAGCTTTAGCCGCCGTGACTAGCGCGGTAGGGCACAAAGCAAACAGGAAGGAATAGAAAGAGTTCGAGGCGGTATTGTAACAGTTACCTTTCGCCCTTGCTTTAGTTTTTCCACTTCCTCCCCTTTGAGCGCTGACCGCTGAGGCCTAAAAAAACGTTAAACATTTTCGAATTCCCCGACAGTCCGACAGTCAAACTTCTTTTACTTGGACAAAGGATTCCCCTGACCAGTTGGTTCGCTTACTCACCAAAATTTTTTATTCCAGCCATGGAAAGACCTGAAGACGAGGAGTAGGAAAAATAGATTTCACGTGTGTAACGATGCACGTGGGAAGGTTGAAGGACACGAGAGAAGCTTGCGAGTTGTTTGAGGAAAATGTACTTTTTTAAGGAAGCTGCAGACAAAAATTGAAGGTCAAAACACTCAAGATTTAGTAGAGTTATAACCTATTGGAAGAGTCTTAGCTCAATAAAAGTCCGAGATTCAAAGGGTTTTGATTCTTCGTTCTACGTGCATCAAGTTGTTTTGTGCTGTTTAATCAAAAATTTTGCGAAAAATTTATTGTTTTTTCGATTATATAATTCTAGTGGTTAAATGGTAAATGAAAATGGAGAATTGAATGGGTACGAAAACAGAGCAAGTATGATGAAAACGTTAAACAGAACACATAAGTTCCCTCCAACTGCAACCTTATCAGCTTAAAACGTCACAAACAGAAACAGCCTGAGCTGAATTTTACCACAGTCCGATCGGACAAAAAGATATCTATAAAATTAAAATACGAACGGTCCCTGCTTTTGGGCGAAGTCCGTTGCACGATTAAAAAGAATTATGTCGGCGGGCCGCGCCAGTAGGAGTAAGCGTGCCTCGCCCCCAATGCTTTTTTTTTTTTTTTTTTTTTTTTTTTTTTTTTTTTCACTCGCTCGACGGACTTTGCCGGAAGTGAGGGACTGCCCGTAGTCTAGAATAATTTGCATACCAATGATTATTATTAGTCCGACTTCGCTTTGAGGAAGCGATATATCGCCAGGCGATAACAGTATACCGGAAGTAACACGGTTTAAAATTTTATCTGACTGTAGTTACTGAGTTGTGGTAGACAAAGCTTGGCTATGTTTAGCTGGTTGTGTTCGGATTTCTCAAAGCAGTGCCAGGGGCAAAAGCTTCCTTCAGATCCATTTGCAGAATTAGCGTCAAACAACAATGTAGCACCAGTTCTTTCAAGCTAGTAAAAATGAGAATATTTTTTAAATTATTTTGCGCTTGTTTTAGAAAATAATTGATAGACATCTTCTTGAGCTGGAATCAAGCTCCTTCATTTCAACTCAGCGACAAAATCTTCAAATTATGACGCCGCCTGTCCGTCAAACTGCATGTTTACAATTTCAATAATCGCTCCAGGTAGATGATGAATTTTTAGTGAATGTTTCAACAGTACGAAGAGGAAAACAGATCATCTTCTTTCCTTCTACATCGTAAACGAACCGCAAATTCGAACTGAGTCTAAGAGCATACTACCTAATTTTTAGCATTGATTCTTGTGGTTTGAGGCTGAAAGCATGCGTAACTCTCGCGTATCTGAAGGAGCTAAAATCCAATTATCATTAATATTTAATAGCAGTTTGCAGTGAAATATTCGCCTTCTTAGCTGGTGGCAAACACTCCTGTTAGCCTTTTCTTTGTGAAGACTGTGAAGCTGGTATACACAGAATATTGTCTTCATATGCAAACTATATTTTCCAAGTCATAAGCGGGTTAAATTCAGAAGAAGAAAAAAAAGGAAATTGGCTCTGTGTCTTCTTGTTTCTAATAAACCAAAAACATTTTAGGGTGCTAGTAGCTTATTCCATTTTGCTGCGAATTTCAATGCCAACAGCTACATCCATTAATCCATCATTTAACAGGTGAATTAAAAAGCAGATTTTAATCAAGTGTTTTCTGAACTTTCTGCTCTTCCCAGAGCAGTTTCAGGCTTGACATACTTTCGTAATTTATTAAAAGTTGAGTCCAGGTTTTGTTCCACGCGTCGCAAATTATCCTCTAGCCTCTCCTGTTGCCGTCGAGCAAACCACTGAAAGTTTATTTCTTCTTTTTCTGTTGTGGGGGTTAATTCATAAAGTAAAGACCAGCTCGAAGTCCTTGGGATAGGAAAAGGCTCTTTAAAATTCCAAGACTTACTTCCATAATTTTTATTTCTGTCAAGAGAGCAGCTTGTGTTGGTTCTTTTGCTTTCAACGTTCCTTTTTTGCGTATAATCTAATTCGGTGAGGCTGGTGCAACGACGAGGTTGCATGTCATACACGGTTAAATAATCGTCGTCATTCGAAAATATGTCGAAGGCACTCGAGCTTGGTGATACAACGTTTCTTCGCCTTTCGTGTGCTTTTTTCCTTATTTCGGTCTTTTTCCGATGATATTGCGAAGGCGCCGACGGCGATGAGGGGGTGGATTGTTCAGGTTCTGTAGTATCAACAACAATCGAGATGTTTATCGTTTCCTTTTCCGCTTCTTCCCTGTCACAAACTTCAGCTGCTTCTTCGGAATATTGTCGTCGTGTCCTCGATGAAAAAATACTCTTATTTCCCTGGACATATCTAGGGATTTTACTCGGCTTGGATTTATCAACTTCCCTACAAGTCTTGTAAACGGTAGGCAACCGGCTTTTTAAATTTTCATTCACCTTCTCCCGGCACGCGACTTTAGTATCTTCTCCATTTCCAATACGATGGTGACGTCTTAAATTCAGTAGCTCCTCTTGATCAAATAAACTAGGTGTATCTTTACCGGCTGGTACTACACTACCGTCTGTAATTTCAGTTGTGGCAGATGAATGTTTCAACCGCTGCAGAATCTTTTTCTTTTGAGCTCGAAGATTTGCTTCTCTCTCAATGGCCGTTGTGGTCATTTCCTGAGAATTTTGCTTTTGCGGTGACAAAACTGGGTCTGTATCCTCTTAGAACTGACTTGTTAATTTTAATTTTCATCTGGAGAGGATGAGTGACAGGTCTTTGATCGTATTGTCAAGTATGGAAATGGGTGCTTCGAAAAACACCATACATGCGTCAGAATACAGAACAAATATGCCATCCATGCTGATATTAAATATATAAACTTTTCATTCATACATCAAAAGCTCTAGATAATTCTAAGCCCCAAACAGATAAGGCAAAGATAAATTAAAGAATATAAATTTATTTACAATGAACTCATCAAAAATTCGGATATTTATTCCTGGACGTGACAAAAGGCAATATCAAGGAATTTTGCTTCCTTCAAAGCTGTTAACTGCTATACGGCTTCCTTTATTAAAGCTTTTAACTTGTTCGGGCAACCGCAACAATCCGCGAATTGATTGAAGCAACCGCGAATTTCCGAATACAATTAACTGTGTTACGTTTAATTTTTAATTTGCTTCAAATGAAAGACGGTTGGAAACAAATTCAAATTTTGTTAAAATGCAATTTAAATTCGAAAGTAAAGATAAACCGCAACAGTATGTCCGAGTTTCCATGGAAATGCAGTGAATTATGAATTCTGATAAAACTAACAAAGCAAAGCGCACGTTTGTAATGTCTCGTTACTGAAAACATTATTCTTTTACTCGAATACCCGAGGAAAAAAAACACTCATTAGGATACGTAGTTATGCTCCAGAAACGTTTGTTCTTTATCTAACCCGTTTTTGGCCTTTCAAACAGCATAGGGCAATTGAAAGCTGTTTCTCGCATATTCCGTTACTTTTCTGAATGACGCAGTTAGGCAGCATTTGTGTCAGTTGGTAACGTCACAACTAAATACCTGCTTCCACGCGATCCCGTCAGCGCCTATGCTAAGGGCTATGATATTTTTGCTTTTGAGACGAACTATGACTGCAATGTGCTAAAGTTAAGGCGAGAGTCTGACAAAGCTTCCATCGGTCTTGACGTTGTGCAAAATCAAGAAAAAAATGATGGGACATCGCTTACTCTTCTTCCCCTATTTTCTCTTGGCAAAGCACGTTCTTTCCGTCTGTAAAAGGGAAAAAAGTTGCTTTTTGAATCTACAAGCTTATTTATAGAAATCGGTGAACTGAAAGGATGATGCAATTTTCAAACACTGAATAGAATTTTTGAATAGAAAATGAGTTCAGCACATTATTGACAAGTCTTTACAAAAAGCTAAAAGGAGTCTTTTCCCACGTATCTTAACAAGAAAAAATGAGATACTGATTAATTTTTTTGTTCTCTTTTTGGGTAATTGCTGCCTTTTTAATTCTTTCAATTTTTCCTTCTTTCATTTCTCGGCTTTTAGACGAAAAAGCGAAGAAGAAAGCGTCGGCAAAGTTTAAATTTTCACAGTGAATTTTGAGTAAAAACCAGTCAATGCAGATGAAATATAATTCCAGTAATCCAATTTACCTGTTTCAACGGGTCGCTGATCTGCAACGAGTATTGTTATCAACGAAGCAACCCATGAGTGACCAAGACAGAATTTCTCCTCACAATATCAATACAATATCAAGCAGACAAGTGATGAGAAAAGAGAAAAATATCAATTACAATTCTCCTTTCTGTCTGCCATACAATTCTCAAGGCACTACTTCAGAGAATTTTGTATTTTATCAACCGATAATCCACTAACTTATGTTTTTAGTTATTCCCTTCAATGGACTTCACTTGTCAGCTTGATTTTGTGTTGATGTTGTAAGGAGAAATTCTCTCTTGGTCATTCACGGGAGATAAAGAGTTAAGCAAGGCATCTAAGGCAAACAGTGAGCTTCTCAGGATAATTCTCAAATCAGCCCTGAAGAGAAATAGCTAAGAATCTCTTGCTCACAGCCACAAAAATAATCCCGTTTTTATACGCAAACAACAGAAAGCAGACAATGAGAATTCCACCTTTTACCTTTGGCCGTTGGCTATAAATATGATGCTTATCTTTTCTACTATCACTCCAGCACAATTATTTGACGTGAGACTTATACGGCTGCGTAGTGATAAAAAGGTCAGCGAATGAAGGAAAATTATCTTCATTGGAAAAATTTCCATACAACAATGAAGTTAATCTGTCTACACGACATCGGGGTTTTAGAAGGTTTAACACATAAAAATTTTAAGTTCAACGGATACTTTCACTTAATCTTCAATGCTTGACATAATATAGCTCATGAAACAAAAGATGATGGCTTGGCTGAACAGTTAAATATCTTAATCCCGAAAATAATCTTCTATTCAATAGACATGGTATTACCTTCCTAATTACGGCATATAAACATTAAAAGCCAGGAATAAAAAGATTATTTTTAAAGGTGTTTTGTACATTTGTCACTTTTTATTAGTTCAAAACTTATTCCCGAATTAAGCGAAGAGCCTTCGTTTAATTTGCACGTTGCTTTCGACTCCGTCATGAGTTGACCTGAAAAGACTGTTGTAAGAAAACCGATAGTGAAATCAAAAGTGGGACGTTTTTGTATTTCACTTGTTTTTTTTTTTTAGCAAAAAGGCACTTTTCATTTCTCGGATTATCTTCCAAGGGGATTAATTAACACGACTCGTCGTCTCGAGAAACTTGTTAAGTCCATTGCGCGCACGAAACGTGCACGAATCCTGGTTAATCTCCGGTTGGTTTGTAAATCTCCGGCTAGGTGGAATACGTCCCGGGTGGGTGCTGTTTAATCTCACGGGTAACCTATAACATAGGGAAACGCCGATGGGAAGTACTCCTGCAAAACGATATGTTTTACTCTTTGCCTTTCTTTGTAAAATCGCACGGACAGGTTATTGTTTTTGGGCGAGTGCGGGCAGGGGCTAGCCTCGCACGCAGTTCCCCCGGTCCGCATCTGGCCAATATCTCCTTATTTTTCGCTTTTTATCCTTGATGGGCCATTCGCTTTTTTTCCGTCCAGCGTTGAATGCGTTTCCTGATATTGGGTCGGTCGGTCGGATTGAAAAAGGAAACCTAAAAAAAAAAAATACACAGGAATTCTCTGGATAGGAAGCCTGGTACCCCAGCATTATTGCTGTGGAGCCCGGAGACATAACCCAGAATCGATAAGGCGGGAACGTTGGTTGATGTTATTGTAAAATTAGGACAACGTGGGAGAAGGATCAACCACCGAAACTCCTATGCGACATACCAGCATCCCTCACTTTCCAGTAACTGCTTGAAAAGGAAGTCCTGGATATATCAAACATTGCGGCGTTAAAAAGTAAGTATTTACGTACTTGGATTGACAAAACGCACAATATACTATAAAAAAATGTTCCAGTTTTTGTTCCTGTTTTTCTCTATGCTGTTACTATGCTCGTCCTTCAGATTAAAAGAATCATTTAAAGTGAAAAATAGTTAAACAACGTCGTTATTTTTTTTTATTTTTTTTTTTTTGAAAATGCCAAAAATTTGGGTCGGTCAGACGACAATAAACGGTGAAAAAAAAGAGGATCGCCATATTCACGTAACAAATTCTGCTTGATCAACAGCCACCTTGTAATATGCTTTTGCGGGTGACAAAGGAATTATACGTGAAGCGTGACTAAGGCCAAAATCAATATATGAAGCGTGAATTTTACAGAAGGCAAGCGCGATTCTCAAATTCATGAACCAGCGTGAGGCGTGACATACCTCCTGAAATATACGAGACCCGTGAAGTTTTTCTTTCAGTTCGTGAAAGCCTTAATATTTTCCCGAAACTTATATTCAAGAACAGAGATTTGGATTTCCCCTCCCTTTTTGTTACCCTCCCTTTTATGCCTTTTCAAGAATTTTCTTCAGTGAATTTTCCAACTAATCAAAATCAACAGATTCTTTGCCCTTACATCACGAGGCTTTCAGTTTTTCCTCAAAGTATGGGCATGGTAGTCACTTTCATCAGCTAATCACGTGCAAGAATTTTCGTGACGTATTACAAACTTTTCGCCATTTCACCTTGCGTTTGGTGCAATATTTTTTTAAGGAATGATGTGAAATCTCTGATTTTCTTTAATGATGAAGTGTTTTAAGCTTAGCCGCTTCTTCGAAGGTTCATGTTATTAGCGGGATGCCGTGTTTGTTATTCTGAAGAAAGCTTGGAACGAATACGGCGGTGCTGGGTTGGTGTGGGGTGTAACAAGGTAATTTGGTTTTATCAACTGAGTTGATAATGAAAACTGGCCACCAAAGAGAGTTTGCAAAGCTGACATTTTGAGCGATAGCCTTTTGTCAGAGCAATTAGAAGAATCATGAGTTTTGTGGGGTTTATTTACAGAAAGATGGAATTTCTCCATAGGTGGGAACTAGAAATGATTAGGCCGGTAACTGGAAGTTATTTTCAAATTCTAGCAAACTTTTTCAAATTAAACCCACCTGAATGTTTGCAAAATTGAAGTCCGGCAATGGAATGAACACATTTGACTGTTTAAAAATGTTAATGTTTTGCTGGCTTGAGAGAAGAAAAGTCTTCTGCTAACACAGTATGTTCAAAACCAAGCTTCTGTGAATATTATCCTCTCTAGCTTAAACCTCACAACTCTTTCAGACCCGACAACAGTGGAAAGAGCATTGGAGCAGCCAGTTTTATTTACTTCAACTATAGACTACGAAAACTTTACGCTTAATTTGGCTGTGGTATATTTTTTTTTACTGATATATCTTTTAAACTAATTACAAAACGAATGGGATGATAACTAGCCTACAAATTGAAAATGATAACAAATAGATTGCAGATTTTCTTTTTTTTGTCAAAGCGGACTATCAAAAGAAGAAATAATAAGACGAAAGGCGAAAGACGGGATGAAGAAATTGTGTTGTGAACGAAAAACCGTTGTTGGAAGTTATATTCCTGCTTTTAGCTGCGGCTAGTTATGCGTTTGTTATTTTTCACCTGTCCTGAATTTAACCCTAAAACGTAACCCAGCCTGCAGAGTTATTAGGTAGAACGCGACAAGATCTCACGCCCTTGCAATGCAACGATTCTACCATCAACGTTTTAAAAAGAATTCGTGCGTGCACCTGCCATACTTCGCAGACTGGTCCAGAACCAAAGCCCCCCGCCATTATGGCAATTTCAAATCAAGATCTTCGGCGAGCTATTTACAATTACCAGATTCGGTTACATTAATGGTTTGCAATTTAAAAAGCGTGCTTCTACCAATTAGTCAGAACCCAATTTAAGACGAGAGATTCTTTGGGTTGGGTTCTTTTTCATTCTCATCACATATTCTTGACACAGCATCTCGTGTTCCTAAAAGCGGTAACCGAAAGGAACCCATTCTTGAGTTCTTATCTTCTAACAGCGGTAGTACAGGAGGTCTGAATGACTTGAAAGGTTCAATGAAGCCGGGGACAGCCAGTCTGTTCGGCGGTTCTGGCGCAGATAATGCCGATATATGAAGATGACCAGATTCCAGACGAGCAGCTGATTCTATCTTAGGAAGTTTTAAACTCGCTTTATCATTGAACTCATCTTCCGCCTGAGATAAGACTAGGGCTGGGACATCAAACTCCTTCTTCCTCCCTGAAAATTCTCCGACAGAATACTGTCCAATCTCTGTCGAAGGACAGTTACTGTATTTACCTTCTACCAGAGGCGGTAAAGCTGATGTCCTTGTTGGCTTTGACTTCTTCTCCTCACTCTGCTGATTTTTAAACTTTGTCTGTGAAAGTAAATTGTTCCTCTCCTCAATTGTACCATTCATTGTTGCACTATATTCCGTTTCATAGTTCAAGCACCCTGCGGTGGACGAAAATGAGCCCAAACTTTCGATTACGTAACTCTTTTCCCCATTCATGTCGTTGCTAATGACAGGAAAACTTAGTTGTCGTTTCGGGCGCAAAGGTAATGCAACTTCGCTGAAGAACTCAAGACAACGTTCTTCCCAGGCCGTCAGTTTATGGAACTGATACAATTTTTGATCGAAATTATCAGCCAAGTCTCCGAATGCCTCGAAGTTTCTGTCTTCGCTGTTTGTTGCGCCATCGTTTTCCCATTGTGTATCAAACACTAATGGTTCTGCGATGGAATTCTTGTTCACAACCAAGTGCTTACCAATATCTCTCTTCTCCATAAACACGCAAAACAGTATGTCTCATTCTTTGAAAAACTTAGTGGCGCTTGTGGCTGACAACATAACGAAAGCAGTCACAAAACTAAATCACGGTAGTATCAGAAAGTATCGTCTTATTCTCTTGTAGGCGCAATATATCTGCAACGGTAACCAGCATTTAGTAGTGCCCGCGTATCCTGATAATCCTGTAGTGCGGTCAGTTTAAGGACACAAATTATCACTGACGCAACTTTGACGGTGTCTACAGATGTTACAACATTTCGCCATCCTACACTAAAAACCCCAGAAAACGTTTTAGAGATAAATGCTTTGGGAACTCCTCCAGAGTGTTGGTTCAAACAAACGCTTATCAGCTCATTGCATATTATTTATTACTTTGTCGGTCCGATATCTAGACATATCAAGCACGGTTGAGACCAAAATAAATGTGATGTTGATACCACAACGCTCAATATCCTGCTTGTCAACCTTCGTCCGCACATTGACAAATTCATATTCCAGCAAAGGAGCTTTTGATGTTAATTATCATAGCAAAAATATTTTATTTGTTCTCATTATATGGCCGCTTAGGCACAATGGTGATTTGAGAACGATTTCAAGTTCAACCTGAATTATTTATCAGTTCTAGTCGTACATTTTTTGTTTTCTAACTAATTTCCCGTCTTGATTCGTCCCATGCGTCAAAAGGAGTTGCGTTTCCCCTCATTAAATCTATTTTTTACATGAATCCTTTTGTTATTTTCAGCCAGTGTTTTGAGCATGTACCAAATCATGTCGAAGTATTAAGGCTGCTTCAGAAGTTTACTTTTCCTTTATCAACTATTTCCTATCTTTTACGGAATAATGAGTAATTCTTATCTGCGTTTTCTTTCCTCTTTTTAGCTCTCCTCTTTTAAGAGGTTGGTAATTTAATTTCAAAAGATACTTGGGATTCTCTCCTGGATTTCTCTCCCTGTTATGAATTCAGTTGCGGAGCTTTGGAAAACTATCTCGCTCTTTTATCACAAAAACATTAGTGAAATTCAGACTTCATCGGAAAAGATGGTTAATAACCCCCTACCTTCCCCGCCCCCTCACAAAAAAAATTCAACGACAAACATCACGAACAGTCTTCTATATCTGTGCCCGGAAATTCTGAGAAATTTGTCCGAAAATTTATCAAAAAAAGTTCTTGTTATCTCTGAAATCCCTTTTAAGTATGTTTTATTCTTGTTTTGAAGATAAATCGATTCTTCATCACTTAAGCCAAATTTTTCTTCGTGGGAGAATAAGATAGAAAAACGATTTTCTATACTTGTAAAAATACTGTAAAAATAAGAAAATCACAGACAAGTTTCAAAACAACATATTCCTAATTTGTCAATAGTTTATTCATATCTGGGAAAGTTCTAAATATTCCCAAAAGTATCCAGATATTTGTGAAAAAGTGTGAAAGAAAGTTCCAAATGATTTACCCCACATTAAAGGTGGAACCAAAAACGGTGTCAATTTGCAGGAAAGGTTAGGGGCTCTGCAGAGACCTAAGTCCTATATCTAACCACAGTTCCCCCACGAGAACCCCCACGGGACCCTTTTTCACCGACTGTTTGATAGTTCAATACTACTACTGTTTTTTCCTGTGTTCCCTAAAAGTCGTGTTCAATGAAATACAATTTACATTTATTCTCAATATCTATAATGTATTGACTTTTCCGATGGCAAAATTACTGCTTCCTATAGCCATGATGTCAGCTCTATATTACTGTAACTCAAACACTAGAGGGTGGGTAACCCCAGTTTTTTTATTGCTTAATATTAAGCAGATTAAGGTTCATCTTCTAGAAAATGTTTTTACTGAAGACCCTAAAGTTGTGCTGAACTGTAGGTACAGATCAAAATGAAAGAAAAACAACTTTATATTTGAATATCTGAAAAAGTGCATCCGATTGTTATGAGATCATACGTTACCATATGGCATAATTTAAAACTTGCTAACTTATCAATAATGGTAATAGGACAGAGTCGAGTCCAATTTGGTCTGTAATCAGACGAGTGATTTCAATCATTGTCAATCACGAGTATGATTGAACAGACGCTAAGTCCTGTAACCAATCAATCATAACCATTACAATTTCGGAAAAAAAACAGATACATTTATTTGAGAAAATATCTCCCGTAGAGGCATTGTCTAAAGTAAAAAATCCCTCCATTTTGGAAATTCCCCGATTTTTTTGTCAATTCTGTGATTGGTGGATTTTACTGAGTGGACCTATTGCAATTGGCTGCCTTTACCGTCTGATTGCAGGTGTCCGATTACAGCCAACTGTGCGATTACACTGTCTCACAATAACTCTACAAAATAATTAGGGAAATACAAAGCAGCTAATGCATCAATCACATTTGAGGACATTGAAATGGTTATGATACGAGCAATTTTCAACTGTGTCGAAAGTAATCGGATATTGCGTTGGTTTTACTTTTCTCCGCTCTGTGGTTGGTCCAGAGAATTCATGCCACTTTTTTTCAACCAATCAGATCCATGTTTAAAACCAATCATGACTTAGTCGTTCGCGCTTTAGAAAGTTTGGCTACTCACACTTTGAGATTTAAGTGGCTGTTTAGAGTATTTCCTTTCTCCTGATTGGCCAATGGGATTATTTTGGTTTTGGTTTTACGTCACTCAATCGAAAAGCACACCTATTATTGTAATTTTTTAACGAAGCAGTTCTGCTTTAATCTAATGTACTCTATAGTCTGCCAACATGGATATGATCCACTTTATATGGGTTTTACCGTGAATTTAGAGCTTCTTAGAGACATGACTTCAGTGTTCAGCCAGAGTCTTGTTTGCTGGGTTTTTTCTAGTCTTCTAAAACCGCCTCATCCACTCGCCATGCATTTCGACTTGATATCAGGATTGTTCTCACTGGTAAAGCTTTCAACGGCTGAGAGATCTTCAAAATAAACACCGGTCATACCAAGGTGAACTGTCTGTTCTCATTATCAGTGAGGTCGCTCTGTCAAGAAAATGCATCAATTAACAACAATTACTTGTTCCATTTTAACACTAGCGTAGAGAAGTATCTTCCTCTCTGTTGTTTGTAGATTTTTGAAATGGGAAATTTGGTTTTATCAACTGGGTTGGTAATTTGGCCACCGTAAAGAGTTCTAAAGCAGACGCTTTGAGTATTAGCCCTACTCAGACAAACGGCTAACGTTTTGGAAACTCGTTCGCTAATTTACATTATCAAGTGAACTGTTAACTCAGTTGATAAAACCGAATTATCTTATCATACCCCCAGCGACGCAGCATCACAGTTTCTTAAAAACTTACCCCTTTTTAATATGTGAAGCTATGCAGAGTATGTCACTCGAAACATTTTCAAAGGAACGACTCAAGTTGGTGCGGAGCAAGTAAACTTTTATATGTTTTGTTTGTTCTAGGTTTGGTTTTTTTGTTTTTTCTTTCCGTTTATTTTTTCTTACACCTCTTTCACATTAAACTCCTGGGTGCTCTCGCAAAACCTCGTCATTCGAGGTTTTGTTGAAATGTTTTGACAGGTTCTCTTCTTCGAATCAGTTCAGATTAGCATGTTGCGATTTAATGCGGCAATCTCATCATTGCAAGTGTTCGTTGGCTGTACGATTGTAGTCTAAATATGTTATTCGTTTTCTTTTCTTTTTTATGTAAAGAAACGAAGTAAAAGAAACCTTCCAAAGTGTCATTTGTTTGAAAAAGTGCATATCAACAGTTCATAATACATTTTTGCTTGTAAAGATTTTATTGTTAAATCCTTTAACATATGTCTATCGCGTACAATTCTTCTTCGTTCATTCATCCAAAGTTAATCTTTACATTATATTTGCTGCTTATGAGGATAAAAGCAAAGCAGAAGTCTTCGGCAATTTATGAGACCACGACGAGTCAAACTATACTAGTTTCACCTTTCATCAATTTAGCATGTGTTTCAATAACGCCTAACAAAGGAATCGTAGGATGTTTGAAAACATATCGCTGTAATGCAATGAGACCCAATTTACATTACAATTCTTTTTCAATTAAAATGTTTTCACTGTTTTTTCTTTTCCTTGCAAAAGCTGGTTGTATATAAAGCCTAAGTTATAAAATTGTACTGTTTCTGATGGAGAAATATGATTTCCGTACTGGTAAAATATTCTAGAACTAAAGCCCCCGCTGGTGTATATTCAAACGGATGGAAATTTCCTTTTGTTTTTAAACCTAAGGATTACAATTAAATCGATTTTAAAGGCATCTTAATTTTGACTGACAAACGTTTTAAAGAGCTTTCGCCAATTATTTTTGTTTACAGCTTTTCAGTTTAAATATGGCTGGGACGTAGACGGGTAGTTCAGTCCACAGGCGAAAAATTTGTATCCATTGTGAGGTGCCTGGCAGATTGAAACATTTCATTAAGCTAGTTAGGAAAGAACGGCCAAAATTCAAATTGAATCAATCGTTCTTTTCATTTCAATCAAGGACAGCTGCTTCAACTAATTAGCAATGCGTCGCCTGAAAACGGTGTTTTCTTGTTCAGTTCAATAGGAAAAAAACTTAAAAATCAGGTCATCAATAAATTAAGAAATTTATTTCCACGAAACATACTTCAGATACATGTGTGCTTGATACTTTCCATTCCATAAAATATTTCGCGCTCATACTTTGAGACACATTTCTCTAATGTTTAATCATCTTAGCTATCCAAATTTTTCAAGAGCTTTTAAGAGGTGCAACTTAAAATTTATTCCATGCTTTTCGACTCATACCGTGAAACGTTAAGAGGGCACATATTGAAAGCGTTATTGTATAGATCGACATGTTTTCACTACCGAAAGTGGAAAGTCACTTAATGGAGAATTGAAACCACCTCAAAATAACAATGTCCGTTTTCCATTTACGTCGAAATCGAAGAACAAAACGTAAACAGTTTAGAAAGTTGTTCGCTCGTTACCTCTTGAACTGCTTGGTATTTTGAAAACAGTGATCCTTTGACTGGGGTATTTAAAGCTAATTTCCACGGCAAGCGATCAACTCCTATTGTGTGCGGAGTATGTTGTTTGCAAACCTCCATTAAACAAGTACATTGTGCTTACAATTGGTCGCCAGGCATGCTCGCGGGCGCCGTGAGAAGCACGTGTCTCTTCCACCTGGTTAACAATGGCGATTGTGATCGCCACGCGTAACATGTATCGACGAAACAAAACCATCTAATAACGATTAATTACTTTCGCTTAATTATTCACACTTAGTTCCTTCATGTTCGGGAAGAAATTCGCGGCAAATAAGACACTTCATTTCGCCTGCCACCTGCCTCGCTTCACGCAAGGGCATGCTCTCATTGGTCCGCAGCGATCACGTGATTACATAATAAGTCAATTTTACTCAAAGTTTTGAATTCTGGGTTTTTGAATGTTCGCTCCCTGTCAAACCACATTTGTTCATTGACTATGTGGAGTCGGCAAGCCAGATTTCGTCGAGAACAATCTGCACTCGCCGGTTGGAATTCCCCCTTAATGGGGTTTCGGCATGTACTATGTGGAACATACTGAATATTGTGTGTTTTTTGACGATTTACGTCAATGGAAAAACAGGTAAAGCTGAACATCAGGGATATGTGGTCAAATTTTTGAGCCTGAGTTTACAACCCAAATGTTGTTCATATCGTAAGCGATGACCGGTATTATTTGATGTTTTTCCAGCCGTCGGACGGTACTATAGACGTCTTAAATCACGGGAGGGCCAAGCCGATCGATGTCCAACTCCGCGACTAGTGCCAATTTTATTTAAAAAATACTGTAAGAGTTTAACGCCGTGTGAGAATGATAAAGGGTGCAGGAAGCCAAAGTGGATCTGTGAGTGCCATGAACACTGCGGCAGAGTTTGCATAGATCCAAGTAAGTAAAAACTTTCAGTTTTGTAAAACTTTGCGGTCGGTTGATCTACACATCGGTGATGTATTTCGAACCGGCGTATTTTTCTAGCATCGACGTTCTACGTGCAGTCGTCAAGAGATCGCATCTACGCAGCCGGGTAGAAGAAACTCGTATATGACACAATCCACCTTCGTCTTACCTGCTGAACGAGATGAAATTGCTTGATATTTTATCGACGTAAACGTCGAGTGAAACCCTCACATACCCAATCATTAAGACGTCGGGTCATTTCAATCTGTTCTGCAATCGATTTAATCTAGCGAATAATTTCCTTTGCAAACCAAGAAACGCGAAATTAATGAACGTGATTATGAATTTATTTTCATAGATCGTCGTTTCACTTGTGCGATACGGAAGGCCTTGTTCGGTACATACATCAAATGGAGAGACATTTCATATAGCTCAGTTAATTCCATGTACGCCTTCATTTCATTTGCGTAATTTTGAAAAATAACCTGGCGGCTGTTGCCCTCTGTCATATGCTAGTTTTCTGGTAGTCTCTCGCACAGGTTCTGAGCTTATAAAAAATGTCTTTCTTTTTTTTTTTCTTTTCCGAGATAATTATAACCCACGAGATAGTTTTACCTGATCTGTTGCGATTCAATGAATGGATCAATCAATCAATGAAACTTGGTTTAAGTCTTACTTTAATTTTGCTTCTTTCGCTTTAAAATACACCTGTTTATCTTCCGCATTGATGGGTTTTCGATTCTATTTTGCACCAATAGCCTAAAGCCATATGCGCCGATTAATTCCCACTCGATATCTGCCAATTATATCATGGCCAACTATTGAAAGCTACTACCTACAAAACTCACCCACCAGATCTACTGGAAGCGAGGTCTGGTTTGTAAAGGCCATTAGGACCTTTTTTTCTGCTCTATTAAAAAAAAATTCATCCATAGTGTACAGAATATTAAGGCTTATGTGACTCTTGATCTTATAGTCAGAAAATGGTCGAAAATGATCACTGATTCCGCTTGTCGATTACTACTCAATACGTGGTAGCCGGTTCCCGCGAATTCTCTTGTTATCAACAGCTGTTCCTGAATCAATGGTCCCCCTCCAAGACTATGGGATATTTAAATTTGTTTGTGTGGAGAAAGGCGCCCCTTCGCTGCGCCTCAAAGGCGTGCTCAGTCGTTTAAAACAAGCCTTTTGTAACGTTTTGACGTAAAACCAGCTTAAATCTGACGTTTGGCACGTGTCTGCACGCTTGTGTTTGAATAGTATGCATATATTTCGCTTACGATGGCTTCCACAATAAATTCAATTTTAGTCATTGACCAATGTTCGCATTATTTATCAGTGTGATTTTTTTTTAAGCGAGGCCGGCGACCGCAGGTTTTTATACAAACTATTTTTATAGTTATACCAATTTTCTAACCAGCTTCGTTATAATTTGTACTAGCCAGTGTGGCTGATTTAAAGGCCAATTTTGACGTTCGCGCTAAATACCATTTTATTAACTCTGTTTGTCAAATAACCGTATATTCTTTGAAAGACAAAACCCCTCTGCCTATTCGAGCATGTGTTTCTTTGGAAATTTGAAAAAGAAAAACTTCTTTCTTTAGCAATATATCCTATGGAAACCATTGTGAACACTGTGAAAAGAATCAGGCACGTTCTATGCGATCTAATTTACCGGAACAAAAGGCATTTGTAGTTGATTTGCTAGCTTCGTTAGATTTGAAGTTTGTCAGGCCGCTTTAATAACAAGATTTTTTTAAAGTAAACACAGTACATGAGACTTTCCAGTAGTATCATAGATGAAGTTCAATTTTTCGTCTCCATAAAACTGAGCTGACACTTATAAATAAAAGCAGCTAATTTTGATTTTTGCTTTTCTTTAATACGTTACTTAAATGAATATTCCATCGTAATTACTTTCGATCGAAAATCTTGATGCGCTCGACGACCTCACGCAGCAGTGTGGCTTCTTAAAAACTGCAAGCTCCTGTGACATCTTTCAAAAATACATTTCTTTTGCATAAGTCAAGAGAGAAGATATGTGCCATATGAAGACCAATTATTTACTTCATTTGATCTCAGAGTTGTAATTTGA